TGTTTGTTAGCTTTTCTTGATATTACAATGTTATTATTATTATGGTTTATGATTATTTGTTCAGGGCGTATCTTTGGAATGAACTTAAATCAATGCTACTTCTCCTTATTCCAGTAATGAGTTGGATGTGGATGATCAGCGCACTCGCCATTTGGTGGTTGATTCCATCCATTTCATTTGCAAGTATAAGAATTTTACTGCGCCATGTTATACGGTATATATATGTAATAATAATATTTCTTTTTTTTTAGTTGGAATCTTTGATGATTGCATCATGCATCGCTCCAACAGACCCGGTAGGTTAAAACTTAAATTATTTCATACAAAACCATTTCAACTTATTAATTTTTGTGCACGTGCAGGTATTGTCGAATTCTATGATTAAAGGAAGATTTGCACAAAAATATATATCAATTGGTCTTCGTGATCTTATTTCCGCTGAAAGGTAAAACTAGTTATTTTAAATTTGTACATCAAAAATTCTAATCTTCTTTATTATAAAGTGCTGCGAACGATGGTAATGTATGAGTTTTATTTTCCAAAGCCTCAAAAAGTAAATCAATAAACAAATTATTTTTAATGATTTTCAGGTTTGGGATCTCCATTTTTATATATCGCGGTTTACCTTTCCAAAATGCTCCCCGGAGAAGCAGTCGGAAGATGGTTTCTGGTCGTCATCTGTTATCAGGTTATCTTAAGCATTGTAATTGGATTTGTGATTGGTATGATATATCTATATATTCTTTTTCTTGAACTTTCCTCTGTTAAATCATATTCTTAAAAAATTTCAATTAAATAAGGTTATTTTGCGCGTAAATCGTTGCGTTGGGCTGTGGATAAGTTAAGCATATTTTATTCAACCCTGATGAATTAAATATAATTAATATTATTCCCTCTTTCGCTGCTCACATTTTTATTTCGATTTTTTAGAAAGCTGATTGATAAGGAGATGTTTTTAACCTTTGCAGTTGTATTGGCGGTATGCTGACCTCTTAAGTATATATTGTCCATGATTTAATTTTAATAATTTTAATTAATTTCATCTTTGTTGAATATCTTAGTTGTTCATCATGGGATCTGTTTCAATCCTTGGAAGTGATGAATTGTTGGCCTGTTTTATCGCCGGAAACTCTTTTACATGGGAGTATGTATTTATCAAATGTTTCGTATATATATATATATATATATATATATATATTGTTGTTTTTTATCATATATACACGCGTATTTATCCTTTTTACTCCGCTTGTACTACTTATTCACTTAGCGATTGGTTCCGAACAGAGACACAAGATTCTCATTTTCAAGAAATTATTGACGTGCTTTTAAATTTATCTATTTTTATTTATATTGGCGCGATTATGCCATGGTCATTGTTTAATAATAGTGAATTGGGACTATCATACTGGCGATTATTTGTCATTTCTATTCTTATTCTTTTGTTTAGACGCCTTCCCATTGTATTAATGTTAATGAAAAACATTCCTCCTTTGAAAAATTACCGAGAAGGTTGTTTTTTTGAAAAATACAATGATTTTGTTAAATATAAATATTAAATCTATAATTAATTTTATTTTAGGTCTGTATGCTGGCTGGTTTGGACCAATTGGAATAGGTGCCGTATTTTACGCTGCACTTGCCAAACAAGATGGTAGTGAAAATGTCCAGAAACTTGTTACTCCGGGTAATTAGAAATTTTTTATATTTGCAATAATGTATGTGATACCTTGATATTAATAAAAAAGAAAAATTT